GTTAATATTTTCAATGTTTCAAATACGTTATGATTAATATTAGTACAAATTATTAAATTATGCATTATAAACAATAAATGAATTGTAATAAATAAATTAAAACTAAAATATATAGTTTTCGATAGAAGATGTACATTGAAGCAACTAATATTACAGTGTTTTAAATGTTTGCAAATTCATCTTTAAAAAATATGTCTGTTACAGGCAATACTTAGGTGGAATTAAAATTGGATGTAAAGATAATATAAAAATAAATAATAAATTTGATTATTAATGTAATTATTTTCTACGCGATTACTTCGATATTGTCTATAAATGCATTATCACTTTGTCTCATACGATTCTATAATAGACTCTTGAAATACAAATATATTGTTAATGAAAGCATAGATGATTAACAATATAGAATAATAATATGATAAATGTTTATAAATTTGCCATTATTAAAATATCAATCATTTTTAATCTATTACATTATGAATTTTTTTTTTTTTTTTTTTTTTTATAATTTTTTACATTAAATATAGATTTTAGATATTTTGTGATATATATTTTATTTTATTTATAAATTTTATTTATAAATTTATATAATTAAAAAATTAAATTAAGAAATCTGTTTTTTTTGTATCTATAATTAATAATCAAAAGTATAGTTTAATTGAATAAGGAGCAATTATCAAAAAAATCTTTTCCCTTATAAGTTCAATGAACATCATTTAAAATAAAACATTTGGATTAATTATTTTTAAATTTTAGTGCGTATATTTTATATATTTATCGCAAGTTTTTAATTATTTCAATGTCATTAATTAATTTATTACATTATGTATCATTTATTTTTATTCTGACGAGATGCGAGTATAGACACAGCGCTCGCAATTCTCGTCATTTATGATCTAAGATGTGAAAATTTAATTAAAATTATTAAAATTAAAATTACCAATATAGCAGTCTTTAAATCTATGTACAGATAATGATATTGATACTTAAAGAATAGCTGAAATGCAAGGCTTACCCTTACAAGTTTTTAAATAAAAAAATCGAATAATTATGTGCAATGATATATTTGATGATATACTTATTGATACATTTATTAATACATTAAACATATTATTACCAATTATATTATATAATTATATTAAATGACTAAATTAATAAACAATTTCCAATCGTCTGACGCATAGCATTAAATTTCAAGCCTTTATTATTATATTATAACAGATATTAAAAATTAAATATGCATCACCACAAAACCTGAAAATATAAGAGGCAGTTGTACTAATAAAATTATGAGTGAACAAGGTTTAAAAAATGACTACATAAACATTAATACATCGGTAATGCAGATTTCTGATTATGTAAAAAAAAAAAAAAAAAAAAAAATGATATTATTAAGTGCTGAAATATAAAGCTTTTCACTTTTCATCAAAAGGCCTTTTAATTCATGTATTTATATAAAAGGAAAAATATGGTGTCTAAGTATACGATAAATAAAAAATTTGGTAACAACATTTTGCATGCAATAGATGTATTGTTCATAAATAGCAATCAAAAACGATTTCACTGCAGACTCATCTGCTTTCACTCAGTCGATGAACCTTTGCTTTTTTCACAAACGTTGTCTTATACTATCGCCAATGTATTATTTTTATCTCTATTAAAACAACAAATTATAATTTAACTCCAGCACCATCACTCGAACTCTGAACGTCTGCGTTCAGCTTCTTTCGATATTTAATTACTTTTCATTTAAGGTAAAAAAGAATAATATTTCATTAGTCATGTAAGTGTCTATGGTATTAGAAGTATATAATATCAGAAATAATTATATAAATAAAAGTAATTATCGTTACTTCAATATAGTAATTATCGAACTATAAAATTTAAATTTTTATTCTGATGTGTCAATTAGGATAGTTTTAGTAACGATTTTCATTTATTATTTTTCATTTTTTCTTCCTTAGTCTCCTTGTTTCGAGGTAAAGTAAATCATTGTATATATAGTATTTCCTGCAAATCTATAGCTGTAAGTATATTCGAATGCAATTAAAAAAAAAAAAAAAAAAAAATCGCTTGGAATGTAAAATGTAATTATGTCAAATTTTTATAAAGCTGTATTACCAAAAATGTCATGAAAGACAGAATATTTAAAAAATGTTTATACCATTATAATATCAATAAATGTTTACTGTTATAATGTTCATTTTCGAATGCCATTGAAATATCAACTAGAAAATCCACTGGAAATAAAATAACATTTAAAATCATTAACATAAAAAACTGATAGTAAATTATATAAAAAATATATATATATATATTCTTTCTCATTACAGCAATACACTGATTCAGAAAAATTTGTTACTTTTAATGTTGTATTATTTTTAAATTCATTTGTATTAATTTTATAAGCTACAATAAATATTATTATACATTTTTTTTAATCATTTTTATTTCGGAATATGAATACTGTATAATTGGTAAACAATTTGACTAAAGTAATACGTTTATTTTTCCGTAAAAGGGCCAGAATTTTGCATAATTCTTTTTACAAAAGATACGATGAGCTAAAAAAATTAAATCATATTTCATAATTTTTAGCTTCTATTTACAAGTTAGTAGTGCAAGAAATTTTGTTCTAGTATATTGTTTTTTAAGGTCAACTTTTAAGCTTACTTAGAAATCTATCATAACTAGTATTTAATTAATTCGTTTTGCTAGATAGACGCTGTCAAATTATTTTCTATTCTTTTATAATTTTTATAGAAATTATTTTGATGTTACAGTCCTCCTTTTGAAAAAATTCATCCTCTCCATAATATTACATCAATTTATTTACGAATTTCAATGATTTTTAATGAAATTTTGTCGGAATAATGTATTGTTTTGATATAGTGTTTATACTAGATTAAGCATAAAAGGTCTTCAATACTTTTAAAAAGAAAGATCATTAATAGGTATTTTACAATTGCAAATCTTCATTCTGAAAGCATTGAAACTTTTTGGATTATACAAACTACAATCACTACTCGTAAATGCTAATATTTTCGTGACATTAAATTTTATAATTACTTTTACGTAATATTACATAATGTATTGATTCTTGACAATTTTTCCGTTGATTTATTCGATTATATTTTAATTAAGTACTACCTAAAAAGAACAATCATGTTTACATAAATTTTATATACAACTCAATATTATGATTACAAACTGTCTAGACTTTATTAAATTTATTAAATATCTACAATGTGTATACAGATTACTGTGTTAAATACAAATTTCACACAAATTTATATAACGATAGTTTTAAATTGAAACTTACACGTTATACACGAAATAATTGATGAAGCATTTTTATTAATATATTAAAACATTTAGTTGACAGATATGTATCAATTTAAAGCTGGTTAAATCTCATTAAAACAATTAATAGAAACATTATTAATATATTACAGACTCTGACCTGAAGTTCTACTTTTTATACATATTGTAAATTCATGGAATATGATTTCAATTTTGTATTATTCATTGTCAATTTCGTTATTATGATTATAAATTAAGAAAACTAAGATATGAAATAGAAATTAACAATTACATATTATAAATTTACATATTTATTAAGTGGTAAAATAATTAGGAGCATTGTAACGAATCCTAAATTTCGTGTCTGGAAAGTAAACGATAAAAAATATTCACAAATTATTGACTAAATATAAATAATAACAATATTAAATATTTGCCTATATTTACAGTTTATCATTATCAAGATTTGATTAAAATAAATATAAATAATCACATACGCTAATGAAAACAAACTAAAATATATATATTTCTTAATATTTTCCTATGTTCTTTTCTATTTGTTTATAATGTTTGTTCGAATCGAATGTATATTTTATTGATAACAGAGTGTAAATAAAAATCATTCGATGTTTAAAAGTCTGAAATCGGTATTATTTTAAAATTTTTATTTGGCTACTTATAATTTTTTCATAATTTCCTAATGGATTAAAAGTTTATATAATTAATTGTATTACTTGTAAAGACAATTTTAATTGAATTTTTTTAATTGTAGTCAATTATTTCATCGATGTAACTCATAATTTTATTATTTATCTAAAAAATATAAAAATCAATGTGCATAAGATAGAAATGAATGTACGTGTATTTTCATTTACGCATGTTGGCGAGTGTGCGGGCGTGTCGCGTACGTGATGTGGGCGTATACATGTGTGTGGTGTGTGCGTGATTATTAAGATTTGTTATTTATTTTTATACAAATATTAAAATTAATAAATATTTTTTAAATTAATAAATACGAATTTTTTTCATGAGAATTAATTAAAATTTTGAACAAATTAAATTATTTATCCGACTTTAAATATAAATAATTAAGATAGGTATATATATATATATATATATATATAAATTATATATGCCGAAGAAAAATTTAATGTAAGTTAAAATTATAGGGCACATTGATGTATTAAAAATTCTATTAAAGCTAACGGGATAGGTGAAAAGCAGCCATTTTCAAATAACGTAATAAAAACGTAATTATCGTCGATATATATTTTGTACATCTATATTATAATTCATCGATTAAAGCTTTCTTACAATCAAATAGCAAGTACAAATGAGGAAAACCTATAAGTTATAAATGTAATATTGAGTAAAAAATTGTGATTATCAAGAAATTAGTATATTATGTTAAAGGTGATATTTAGGCAATGGGTATTAAAAGACTGGATACATAAAGAATGAAAGTTATCGAGAGAAGGCATGGCAACACGAGCGTACGAATCAGTATATTGCTTTTTAAATAATAATATTATTAAAAAGTTCCTTGGTAAGGAGCTTATTATATGTACCTCTGAATGTTTGATCGTTCGAGGTCGACATTCGAGGTGTCAACGAGTCAATTTCTATTTCCCATCTGTGTATTAAGATTGCAGCCGGGGCTTATAGCGTTGCTAATTGCTAGTCATACGCTTAAGCTCGTGGCGCTGCTGCGTGCCGAAATATAGGAAGTAGTCTTTCTCGTATGCACACAAGTAAACACTCAAGCGCGCGCGCATGGTGCTCTCTCCGTCTCTCTCGTTCCCTACCACTTCAGTGTCGCGTACGCGTGCGCGAGTGTGCATTGGTGCAGCGGCAATTCCGCTAGCGGCTGAGCCCGTGGTCCGTTGGTCCGGTTGGTCCGTCGTCCGTCTTCCGTCGTGTCGCAGTAGACAAGCAGTAGTCTCTTGATTGTTTTTAGTAATTGCCGTTTAAACATTATTGATATCGAGCCTAAAATTTAATGTGTCTCGTGCGCATCCGTGTAGGAGAAAAAGTGAATAAGAGGAGCTCGACTCTGGAATACGTGCGTGCGATAAAAAGTCAAGAGACGGGGCGACGATTCGTGGCTCGGAAGATGCCTGTGCTTGCACTTCCTCCTCGTACTTCAACTGCCCCAGACTTTCAACTTACGTTGTCCCAGATGATTGTCGACGATTGAGACAGAGCAAGACTTTCCTATTGCTTGCCGTCTGCCGGTCACAGGTCACATTAGTAGCGGTAGCTGTGTGGCTGAGGAAAAAGTTCGTGACTGACTGTTTAGTGTTAATGCCGGATTCCATTCCGGAACGGATCGTGGATCGTGGTCTTGTGGATCGACGAGGACGCCGAGTAGCTGTCGAGTGTCATCGAGTGCCGTCAGTGTCGAACGTCGTCTCGTACAGAATTAAGGTTTCGGGATTATGACAGTTAAAAAGTTATCAAGAGCTTGGATGTCTATATAATACCAGCTCCTACAATAGTGTGCAAGTGTAGATATAGAAAGCTAAAAGACAAGCTGTGCAAGGATTTGCCATCCGCCGATGCCGCGTTCTTGAGCGCTGGCCAAGGCTACGGAGTCGCTGCTCTCACATCAAGATGGTCTCGAAACTGCACGGGGGAAACAACAGATATCAGTGTTCGGGCCCGTTTATCGACAGTCTCGGGGCGAGCAGGAGGGCCACGGAAAACTCGACGATGGGACAGCGCGAGGACTTTGAATTCCTAATACCACCTGAAGCCCCGGTTTTCGAGCCGACGAGCGAAGAGTTTCTCGACCCCCTGGGCTACATCGCGAAGATCCGCCCGATCGCTGAAAAGTCGGGCATCTGTAAAATCAAACCGCCACCAGTAAGTAGTACTTCTTTGATCGTGGCTGGCCCGACTCCCCAACCCTTTAAACGCCCACACGTTCTCCTGCACGCACGCCTTCCTTATTCGTATTTATATTCATATTTATTTATATTCGATTTATATATTTTTTTTTCCTTCCAAAATCAATAAGCGTGTTAAGCACGATTGATGCAATAGGCGCGATTATTATGATAAACACGGTGCACGACAAAAAACATTTTTCAATTCTGGGCTTTTGTGCAATGGCTCCCTATTCTCTCCTCCTTCCCCATACCCTCTCTCGTTCATAAGATTCGTCTTATTTTTGTATTTTATCGTTAATATTATTTTAATCTAAAATTTGAATAAACGACGTTAAATTCGTGTTCGAACATTTTCTTCGCACGCGTGTCTGCCTTTGAATAGAACCTTCAAATAGCGTGCGATGTAGCATCCAACAAGAGTTTAGTAGCGAGGAATAAAAATTAACGAAACAGCTTGGACGACTAGCTTTCTTTCCTCTTTCGTTTTCCATTGCCGTTGTTGGTTCCGTCGTGCTGTGGCGAGTGCTTCGATGGGCCATGGTGTCGTTTCCGTCTGGTGCTCATTCATCACATTCAATAGTATTTTTTAGTCCATCGATTAAAATAATAAAACAATGTGCTATGAGATCAAATGAGTCAAAGAGAGAAAACATGAGAGAGTTATGATATGAGATGGCGATGTATGACAGGTAGCTTGTTATGTAAGGGAGGATGAATTTAAGAATAAGCTTTGAGTTTATTTATTTATTTTTTTTTTTCTTTTTCATTCCCAATAATCTCCAATGCCTCTCAATATTTTCCCTCGGATGTTCTTTAATCTAAAATAAAAGTTTTAATTGTGAGGATAATCGTTATTTTCAGGCCATTGAGATGTATCCTTACCAAAGTGTGCGTTATGCGTTGTCGTGCGTTGTGCGTCGGTTTTGTACTGTTTCTTTGTTCTAAAGGTTACTAGTTGACTGCTTATATCGATACACTTATACTTTTATTTTAAGACTAAATTAAGAATTCCCAATTTTTTTTCATAATAAAAAATAAAAATAAAAGATAGATTGTAGTAACGCTACAAAAACTGTGTAACTAGAAGCACGTTCAACGTGGATATTTCATCATTAAGAAGATATATATAAGAACTGGTAATAAGATTTTGGGAAAGATTACATATTCAGAACTTAAAATCTTAATTAAAAAATTGTCACTTTTAAAATTTGGCTCAAGCTTCGTTATCGATCTCTTACATGTAGAATCGGTTATTTCTTTTGTATCGACGCTTTCAAATTTTTTTTCAAATTTAGCTTATAACAAATAATATCAATATCGATTAAGTTTGCAATATAGATTGTTTTCAATATCGCTACATTAACAATGTTTGGGCATTCTTATTTGAAAAAATATATTTTCAATGACGAAATATTCGCCGCCATTTGCAAACTTAAAATCATTTAAAAATTTCCTTTTACGAATTAACACTTTGACTATTTAAATGTCATTTTAATGTCATGACTATTTTAATGTCCACTTTCCTATGATATATGTGATAAAATACGATTTAATTTACACTAAACTTCAATTTTTAGAAATGATAAATAATTATTTTAATAAAATCATTTATTTATAAAACATATATATTTTACAAAGGCACACTATATATTGTGTTTCAAAATTTAATGATTTTACTTTACTGTAAAAAAAAAAATCAAATTGATTCAATTGTGTCTATGTTAATTTATGTATATAATATTTCTAATAATATATTTTTTATTTGTATAGATTTTGATTAAAATATACAAATATATAAGTCAGTCCATACAGTGATAATTATACACATCGTTTCTAAAAAGTTATTTTATGTTTTTGACACTTTGGTTTTATACAAATAAATAATAAATATTTTTAAAATTTTACATACTTGTTTATTCTGTCAATGTATATATATATATATATATATATATATATTGTTGAAATCATAAGATATATGTTTATGCCTATAAAGTATACATTTTATTTGATATATCTTCCATTTTCATAGATAAATTCACACGATAACTTGTATGTTGCGTTAATATAATGGAAAAATAATAATGAATATTAAATATATTGAAATAAAAAAGTTTCGTTATTATTATAAATACTATATTTCTTTAAAGTAATGCCATTCAAAAGAACGAATTTTTAATAAATATATAAGCTTAATACAATTTTATTTCCTTCTAATATTATGATTATTTTAATAATACTTATTCTATAATTATCATCTATAATACACGAAAGCCATTTTATTTAAAATTTTATTTAGTATTATTAATATATATTATTATCTATTATAGAAGATGAATATGAATTATTTTATAATTCTTAATAAAATACAAGAAAATATGTTTCAAATAAAACTTTTCTAATAAATCATTGTTCTAGAATATTATTTTATTTAATAATATTCATTTACTTGAATATTATATTGTTACATATTACATTTGTAGTATATTAAAGACAAAATTGAATGAATTATTTAAAATTTATAATTACTTTTCGACTTAAATATTGTTCGTGTACATTTTATTGAACATTTAGTCATTTATATTAGACAAAACAGAATTTTTATTAAATATAAATGCTACCTATCGTCTGATTTTTATCGCAAGACATACACAAAGTTCATTAAATATTAAGATTTTTATAGAAATAAAAATTCTTTCTTTATTATTATTATTAAATATATATCCTTAACATATTTTAAATTTTGAAAATTTCAAAAATTAAGTGCTGATATTATGTTAAATATATGATTAATAAGTATAAATTTTGTAGAAAGATGATTACTTTATTATAAATATGTTTAATTTGTAAAAAGGTTTTCTCAAATACTATGTATCTAAATACCCTATAAAAAAAAGTTTTTTTTATTTAAAGCTTAGATTATATCATTGTAAATATTTTATTTAAAAACAATTAAATATCTTTATTTTTACAAATTTATAATTATAATCCAGTAGACTTATATTTTATTAAAATAATCTTTTTCTAGAACTGGCAACCACCATTTGCTGTAGATGTGGATAAATTTAAATTTGTTCCAAGAATACAAAGGTTAAATGAGTTGGAAGCAAAAACTAGAATAAAACTTAATTTTTTGGATCAAATAGCAAAATTTTGGGAACTTCAAGGATCTTCTTTAAAAATTCCATTAGTCGAACGTAAAGCATTGGATCTATATTCATTACATAGAATTGTTACTGATGAAGGTAAGCACATAAAAACAAAGATTCACATTTTTCAAAGTATGAATTTTAAATAAATATAATTTTATTAACATTTTGCAATTTACTAAATATAGGTGGAATTGAAACTGTGACTAAAGACAGAAGATGGGCAAAGATAGCAAATAAATTGGGTTATCCTTCTGGGCGCAGTGTTGGAAGTATTCTTAAGAGTCATTACGAAAGAATTTTATATCCATTTGATGTTTTCAAACAAGGGAAAACTTTAGCCGATATAGTAATAATTAATACCTACTGCATTCATTAATGTTAAATATGAACATTCATTAATTCTGTTTATTTTAGAAAATTGAACCAGACAGTGAGGCAAATGAAAAGAAAGATAGAGATTATAAACCACATGGAATTATATCACGACAACAAATTAAACCACCACAAGAGAAATTTTCTCGGCGATCCAAACGTTTTTCTGGGCAAGACGAGAAACAAAATGGATGTTCATCAACTATTAAACAAGAAGATTGTAAGGAGGAAAATGATATAGACTGCAAAAACAATATTAAAGGTAAAAATTTCATTGACTTGAAGGATAACATGAAAGGCAAAAATCTGATCGACTGTAAGGATAATATTAAAGGTAAATTTCATTACAAAAGTATATAATCAATTATTTTCATTTATAAATAATATGAATGTTAATAAATGTTACGTTTAGGTAAAGGTATACAAGATACAAAGGATAATATTAAAACTCGAGGTGCAGCAGCAGAAAAAGATAAAGAAAATAGTAAAGAACTTAAGAAATTACAATTTTATGGAGCTGGTCCGAAAATGGCTGGTTTTAATACCAAAGAAACAAACAAAAAATCAAATAAAACTAGGGGAGTTAAACTAGTCTATGAGTTTGATCCAGTATGTATTTTAAAAGGATTTATTAAGTAATTGAATTGAAAAATTTTATGTATGATAAAATTTCAGAATAACTATAAATTATTTTTTCAGCTTGCTAAATATATATGTCATAATTGTGGGAAAGGAGATAACGAAGAAAATATGTTACTGTGCGACGGATGTGATGATAGTTATCATACATTTTGTTTATTGCCCCCATTAACAGAAATTCCGAAAGGAGATTGGCGATGCCCAAAATGCGTTGCTGAAGAAGTATCGAAACCAATGGAAGCTTTTGGATTTGAGCAAGCACAAAGAGAATACACATTACAACAGTTTGGAGAAATGGCGGATCAATTTAAAAGCGACTACTTCAACATGCCAGTACATGTAATGAAAGATTTTTTTATGACAATTTCAACTTAAATTAATTAATTATTACATACATATAGCCATTGTATTTTTTGTCCAATATTAATATATTTCTATATCTTAAGTCGTTTAATTAGTTATATTTATGTACTTTCTTAATTTTATAAGTAAAAGTATGCATTCATTTTACAGATGGTGCCTACTGAACTTGTAGAAAAGGAGTTTTGGAGAATAGTGTCATCGATAGATGAAGATGTTACTGTTGAATATGGAGCAGACTTACACACAATGGATCACGGATCTGGTTTTCCAACAAAGACAAGTGTCAATCTTTTTACCTGTGATCAAGAATATGCAGAATCTTCATGGAATTTAAATAATTTACCAGTATTACGTGGAAGTGTTCTTGGTCATATCAATGCAGATATTAGTGGAATGAAAGTTCCTTGGATGTACGTAGGAATGTGTTTTGCGACATTTTGTTGGCACAATGAAGACCATTGGAGTTATTCTATTAATTATTTACATTGGGGTGAACCAAAAACATGGTATGGTGTACCCGGTTCTGAAGCTGAAAAATTTGAACGGTCTATGAAATCTGCTGCACCAGAACTTTTTCAAAGTCAACCAGATTTGCTTCATCAATTAGTAACCATCATGAATCCTAATATTCTTACGAGTGAAGGTATATAATAGAAAACATTACTTTGCATTCAAAATGTTGTTTTAAGCTAAATTTTTAAGTTTAAACTTTCACTTTTAATTTTACAAGAATTTTTTACTTTCTGATATCAAATATTTTAAATATAGGTGTACCAGTATTTAGAACAGATCAACATGCTGGTGAATTTGTTGTAACTTTTCCTAGAGCCTATCATGCAGGCTTTAATCAAGGTTACAATTTTGCTGAAGCTGTAAACTTTGCTCCTGCAGACTGGGTAAGCTTATAATTAAACAAATAACCCATATTTAATATTTTATAATTAATATTTTTATTATTGATATTTAAAGTTACAAATAGGAAGAGAATGTATTGCTCATTACTCTAATCTGAGACGTTTCTGTGTATTTTCCCATGATGAATTAGTTTGTAAAATGTCGTTAGAGCCAGATAGCTTAGATATTGGAATAGCTACTGCAACTTATCATGACATGCTGACAATGGTCGAAGATGAAAAGAAACTACGAAAAAATTTATTGGAATGGGTAAGTTTTATCAAGTATTTATCATTATTGGCATAAATTTATATAAAACCGTCACAGCTATAGTAGCTAGTTAGCTTTTATTAACTAATGTGAATAATTGATCTATCAGTTATAATTTTATAATTTTATAATAAATTATGTGCATGTTCAGTATAGTATGAATAAAATAAAATTTAAATTGTACAATCAATATTTTATGCACAAAATATTTCAAAACATGTATCTCGGGTAATTATAAAACTGGTTGGATTATTCAAACAATTAAATTACTGAATAATTTATTTTGACTGATTAGTCGTTAATCTTAAGTATTTTTTATACATAATTAAATATTAGATATTTTATTTTTAACATTGTTAAAAATTAATAAAATTACTATAAAAATTGTTTTCGAAATAATATAATTCTCATATAACATAAAAAACTATTGAGTTTTTATTTTATATTTTAAAGACTATGCTTGTTTTTTGGATTGTGAAAAATTTGTTCATAAATAACTACAATATATTCATAACCCTAATGTAAGATAGAAAAGATTATAAGCATTAAATTTGATTATATTTATTTTTATTAATTCAAATGTGAATTTAGGATTATTTAATATTTTCTTAATATAAAATTATAATTGGTAACTTTATATATATATATAACTGTAGTTCAAAATAACTATGCTTCAAAATTCATTTTGATGCATTATTATTAAATAAAGTTCATTCAAATTTTATGCTTATAAAATATAAATAATACTATTTAAAATGTTTAAAAAATTACAGACAGTTAAATTAAAGAGAATATTTATGTCTTTTCAATATGTAAGATGAATCATATCACTCTGAAATCATAACTCAATTTTCAAATAATCTTGCACGCGCGTTTATATGCGAATGTTTTGATAAGTACATATAGGCTTCAAATTTAACAAAATATATGTATGCAAATCATCTGTGTAGTTTATTTGGAAGTGCATCAGCCTTCTTAAAATTGTAATTTCGGACGTGTTTAAATTACTTTTGGTTGTTGTTTAGAACGCATTGACGCAAGGCAATAGTCGACTTTTTTTAAATTCATGCCTTTGTTTTTTAAACTCGTATTGAGCATTAAGTCAGTTTCTACTTAAAGTAAGTGAACAAACATTTTACATCACAGGTCTAGAAAGCTTATATTTAACTGAGTATAGTAACTTAACCTTCTTTCTAGTTTGAATATTTCGTGTCGGGAATTGGCATTATGTAACTTTTCAGTCAGTATAGGTTATGTTTGTCACCTAATACGCTAGACGCATTTCGTGGAGCGAGAACGGCCGGCCAGCTGCTTAAAAATTGCAATAAATAGTAGGGATATAGGTACGCGATTCTTCAAACTTGTCATTTTTTAAATTTTCTTTCATCGCTAATTAGATTATAATAATCAAAAGTCGATGGATTGTACATAATGATCTTTTATAATAACATGTGAATACTACGTAATAATATTCGTATTGTGTAGCGCAAAGTTTTTGTGTTAAATTCAGCGTTTTTTTTTCATGTGCTAAGTGATTTACTAAGATTTCTATTGTTTTGAACACTAATCCACGTGAAAATAATATTTTTTGATTCCTTAATCCTTATCACAATAGAAATATCAAATTTGAAAAGTAATTGATCATATTTTATAAATTTATGTTAAATAAATAGTTACTTATTTTAACATTTCTTTTAGTCTGATAGTAATAAAGTTTATAAATAACAATAAACAATAAGGGAAATTTAAAATTATATTTAATAACTATTCTCTAAATATGTATTATAGTGAATATAATTGACAAAAAAATATATTAAATGATAAAAGAAAAGGTTAAATATTTTAATGATAATAGTGAAAAGAATAATTTTTTCTAATTTGATGTAATTAAAATCAATTATTTACAATGTTTTGGTGTCAATCAGGGTGTTACTGAAGCAGAGCGGGAGGCTTTTGAACTTTTACCTGACGACGAAAGGCAATGCGAGGCATGTAAAACTACGTGCTTTTTAAGTGCAGTGACTTGCTTGTGCCACAAATCACAATTGGTTTGTTTAAGGCATTTTACAGACCTCTGTGAATGTCCTCCCGAAAAACATACTTTACGATATAGATATACTTTGGACGAACTTCCAATTATGTTGCAAAAATTAAAATTAAAAGCCGAGTCATTTGACTCGTGGGCAAGTAAGGTTAAAGAAGCTATGGATCCAAAAGGAGAGAAAATTGAATTGAATGAATTAAAAGAATTATTAGATGAAGCAGAAATAAAAAAATTTCCAGAAAGTGAATTACTCACTGCTTTAACAACTGCTGTACAGGATGCAGAAAAGTGTGCTAGTGTTGCAAGGCAGTTATTGAGTAACAAACAAAGAACAAGGTTAATTTGTTAGATAAATATTACAAAGAAAAAAGTTTTTAATAAAATTATAAAATTATTTAAAAAAATTTTTTTTTAATTATTTTTATAGGACAAGACAATCTGTTGATGCAAAATTTAAACTTACAGTTGAAGAGCTTACCTTATTTCATCAAGAAATTACAAATCTTTGCTGTGAACTTAAAGAAGCCGATGGTGTTAAGTACATATTAGATCAAGTGATTCAATTTCAAAGAGATGCAGAAGAATTAGAAGTGCAGGAAATTGATTGCAATATTGAAAAATTTGAAAAGTGTATTGAATATGGTGATTCAATTTGTATTGAATTACCACAACTTTCAAAATTAAAACAGGTAAATTGAGAATATAATTACTTTGAATATTTTTTATATTTATTAAGAATGTGTATATATGAATATTTATACTTATGTATCTATTAATTTTATGTAGAAATTGCAACAATTACGTTGGTTAGAGGAAGTCAAATCCATTCAAGAAGAATCAAAATCTGTCACAAGACAAAATTTAGGAAAACTTATAGAAGAAGGAATGAATATTCCTCCGCATTCAACTATTGAAAATGCTTTAGCTCAACTTCAAGCTTTAATGATTAGTATCGATAATTGGGAAGATAAAGCAAAAGTTTATGTTCAAGCTTCTAAAAATAGACAAACGATCTCATCTGTCGAAGAACTTATTACGGAAGCGGATAGCATTGATGCATATTTACCAGGATTAAGTAATCTTAAGGACGTTTTAAATAGAGCTAAAAACTGGACCAAAATTGTTGAAGAAGTACAAGCTAGAGAAAATTTTCCATATTATGATACTTTAGATGAGTTAGTACGTAAAGGTAGAACTATTCCACTCCATCTCGCAACGTTACCTGTACTCGAATCAACTTTAGCTCAAGCAAAAATATGGAAAGAAAGAACAGCTAGAACATTCCTTAGAAAAAATTCCCATTATACATTAATGGAAGCACTTTCACCTAGAATTGGGGTTGGGTTACATGCAATGAAAACTCGTAAAAACAATAAAGGAGAAGATTCTATTGGAGCTGTATACGTTTGTGATACGAAATTGGATGATTCTAATGATTCAGCTACTGTTGTAGCTGCTTTTAAATTAGCAGAGCAACGTGAAATGGAAGCCATGAAGAATTTAAGAGAAAGAAATATTGGTAAAATGGAAATGGATGATTCAAGGTTTTGCGTTTGTCGAAGATCGAAATTTGGTCAAATGTTACGTTGTGAACTTTGTAAAGATTGGTTTCACAGTAAGTTGAATATTCAAAAATTAAATATATATATGAAATATTTTCTTATTTGGAAGCAAATTACTGCATTAAAATTTAGGTATTTGTAAAGATTTAATTTTTATTTTAAGCTAATTGTGTTCCTGTACCAAGAACTCCATATAAAGGCAAGCAACGAAGTTCAAGAGTGACTAAATTCTTATGTCCATGTTGCTTACGTTCTCGTAGGCCACGTTTAGAAACTATATTATCACTCTTAGTAAGTCTTCAAAAAATTCCCGTGCGTTTACCAGAAGGTGAAGCTTTACAATGTTTAACAGAACGTGCAATGAATTGGCAGGTAAATAAAAATTTACACATTAAATATATTTTAGTTATTACACAAGATTTTATCAATTAGATTTATCAACAATATTTTACTATTTAGGATCGAGCGAGACAAGCTCTGTCTGCTGAAGAAGTGTCTTCAGTATTAGCAAAACTTAGCATTTTATCTCAAAAATTGACAGAAGCTGCTGCTAGAGAAAAAACTGAAAAAATCATAAGTACTGAATTAAAAAAAGCAGCGAATAATCCGGAACTTCATCAAAGGGTACAAGTTATTGCTTCTATGAGTGGTGTACATTCTGATGATAGTGTAATAAGTATTCCTGTAAGATTTATATATTTGTATTTTATAAACTTACTTATATATTGACTTAATATTAAATTTTTCGTTACATTTGGTAGGATGATGATGATAGAATTGATGAAGAAGATGAAGATGAAGATAGCGATGATGACATATTAACTATTGATGAAGATGAACCAAGTAGTAGTGCATTCAATAGTAATGAACACGCATATTCGTCAGGTATAGTTATAGTATTTTTTTTTTAACTTAAATAGTCAATTAAAATTTATATGAAAATTATTTTTCATTCATTTGTATAATATTAAAAATCATTTATTAGTTTTGTTTTTGATCAAATGAATGATTGTATTGTATTTTAGCATCAAAATTTCCTTCAAAATCGTCATCCGGAGAGGATAAAGATAAAATAGTAACATTGTCTAGCAATACCACTACACACTTAGAAGAATTGATGATGGAAGGTGATCTTTTAGAAGTTGCTTTAGATGAAACTGAACACATTTGGAGAATTCTTAGTCAGACTTGTACTCCTTCGAAAAGCATACGTAAATATGCACCACTTGACCAATCGTTACCTGTTACTGAATCTAAAGATCTTAAAAAACAGCCTCAACAGAGAGGTCGAAAACGAAAATCTGATGAATTTGAAATCCTGAAAAAGTTTGGACGTCAAAGAATAGATGACAAACCTATAGTGAAGCGCAAAGGATTAAATAAAGAAACAAAATCGACAACGACGGTTGGTTCAATGAAACGCGGACCACGAAAGGTATACTTATTTATAATAGATAAATATTTGTACTTAAATAAAGTATTTTAAATTTTACAAAACATGTTATATAATTTGTTATTTATATGTTTTTATTTGATGCTTTACTTTAATATAAAGTCAACTTTTAGTAACGAAAACGAACTATTATTGGTTTGATTTTATTAGTGTTTATTTCATTATAGATGAAACGAAAGGATAGCGATGAAGGACCTAAAAGAAGAACTGGAAATAGGAAAAAGACTAAACAAGACACATCTGATGAAGAGGAAGATTGTGCTGCTGTTAACTGTTTAAGACCTAATGGTAAAATGATTATATTTTTAAATGTATTATTTCCTATTCAAAGAGTATTTTATAAATTTTTATTTTTATATTGTAGGACGAGAAGTTGACTGGGTACAATGTGATGGGGGATGTAATGGCTGGTTTCATATGCATTGCGTTGGCTTGGATCGTACAGAGCTTGCTGAAGAAGATGATTATATTTGCCGCAATTGCAGTGAAGCAGATATAAACTCATCGGTAGGAAACGATAAGTGACAATGCATAGATTTAAAACTGTTTTTTTTTCGTTGTTCAAATAAAATTACTAGCGGTCTGTCAATATAATACGTGTGAAATACGTTATGAATTGCATGTGAACTAAAAGTCACATTATTAAAATTACCAAAAAGAAAACCTAATAGTATGAGCAAATATGGTAATGAGCCTATTTATTTTTTTAATTTTCGATTAAATATTTATAATTTTCTACAAAGAGAATAGTCAAAATTTTTACGGCTTTCCATATTTCTAATCCCATAAAAATGAAGAAATTTCTGCCTGTTGTAAAACTGAGAGTAAGGAAATTGGAAGAGGAAATTGCGAATATTCGGAAGTTCAGATAATTGAAGTGAATTCAGCTGTTAGCTGTTGAATGAGAAAACTGTTACGGTTTCTATGGGATTGGAACCAAATATGCACATAGATGTACATATTTATCATACAGTTTATTTAATATGGAGAATGCGTAAGTGTTGGATGCACATGTTTACCCTTTCTCAGAGTCAACAGGACTACCATTCATCGCAATCGTCGCATAGTGAGGTCACTGACACTGAAGATGAATTAGAAGAGGACCTACAAGAGACGGTCAGCGTTATTAGGATCTATTAATTGGCTGCATCGGCCTAAGAAGGAGACGATAAAATGACGTGTCGAACAACTGCTGCAAATATCTTTATATACGATAATATACCTGAGATGTGTGTACACATTAATATACAAAAATGTAATTATTTAAATTTATATACGAGAAAAAGTATATTGAGTAAATTATAAGATGTTGCTGGTTGATATATGCGAGTTTCGTTAAGAAACTGTTTTTTTAATTTAAGAAAATGAAAACAATGTTAACGCGAATTGATAATGAGCGTCGTAAGTCATGACAGAAATTAGCAACGTTACAGTAATGTTTTAAATACAAAGGACATAGATAGTATGATACGTTTAAAGATCAAGTTTCTTAGTAGATCATTTCAGAAGGATCATTTTAAGATCTTAAAAATACGATGTATCATAAATTTCATTTTCAATGGATTTCAAAATTAAACTTTACATGTATCATTTTTGAAATCATTGAGAATGGAATTTATTGTACGTTTACACTGCAACATATTATCCATATAACTATATTTTTCTAAAAAAAAAAAAAAGACAAAAATGGTTAAGTAAAAACCAATTTATAAATTTATTATTATTTATAGAACAAGATTTATTCTGTTAAATTATGGAATTATTAACGTATGTAAATTTCCAAAAGTAATTTGTTCTGTTAAAAATCAATTACAAATTTCATTTTGTACTTGATATGTATTACTTTTATTTTAGTTACAGAAAAAGAACGATAAATTTTTTTATTGCATATTGAATTAAATATTTATAATAATTTTATTTATCTCTCTCTCTCTCTCTCTCTCTCTCACACACACACACAGGTACAACACACATACATGTGCACATACAAACATAAATACACATACAATAAAATTACTCTTATAAATATTAATATTTTATAATCTTATGTTTCATGTATTTGAAATTATTTTTCTTATTTAATATAATATTGGGTAAAAGAACAGTTTATGCATCTGTCAATTTTTCTATGTATTAAAGTAATCTAAAAAAATTTTATCAATTCCTGAAGTTCTTGTTTATGGGAAAAACTTTGATCTCTTTCGTAATTTTCATATTGGCAAACTATCTTTATCCGTTATTAACATTTTTTCATTGGGTAAACTGAAGATGAAATATTTTCCTTTTATTGAATTGAATTTAACCTAAGATTGCAGCTAACGATTTATCGATATCACGTAATTGTAATTATTGCAAGTAAAATGCATTTTCTTTCATTAACAATTTAGCTGGATACCCATTCGGATGTTTAATATTCTGAATAATACAGAAAACATTAACGTAAAATAAATGTACACAGATATAAGAAAAAGGCTGGACATTGATTGTATACATAAAAAAAATTAGTTAATGTTCACACGTACACACTCACAAGACGTATATATATGACCAATTTGGTGGTATATACGTAACGACTATTTTACTATGCGACTTAGAGCCGAAGCTTATTTGACGTACATACAAGGTATTATATATATAAGCGAGATATCGATATTTATGATGAACTTTATATAAATAATAAGAAAGGAGAAAATGAGGATAATAGCTATTATTATAATTATTATTACTATTATTATTATTTTTATTATTGTACGTATAGTTGTATAGAGAAACAAACATTAAGATCGAATTATTATATTATCGTAGAAATTTTGTGATTTCAACAAAAATTGTAATAATAAACATTACCTACCAAAAAATGTATTTTATTTTTTACCATAATCATTTAGAATAAAAATTTTATTGAATGGCAATTATCAAAATATCAATTAAATTGATTTAAAATATACTAACTTCGCTTTTAATTTAAAATTTCTTAAATACTATGTTATACGTACTATTGTACGTATAAATCCTATGTTTCAGTAATGAATTAAAAATGTATAAAATAATTAATTACAAAGTCGTTAAAACATTAATAACTAACAGGTTTTAAGAAATATTTATAACGTTCATTTTAAATATAAAAATTATAAATAAAACAGAAATTAATTAACAATTATTATTATTACATTATTATTATACTAATAATTATTACAAACAATTCACCGAATCTTATATATTAAGCATTATAATTATTACTCGATTATTGTAATTAATTTATATATAATATTGTTTTTGCTGTTTTACGCCTGTATGTATATATATATGTATATATATATATATATATATATATATATATATATATATATATATAGTATTGTACAAATTATAATGAATATTCATATCAATATATATCACAATAATCAAAAAGATAAAGTCGGCATACAAGAAAATAATAATTTTTTTTTGTATAATATTGTTACAAAATAAAGTTCAAGTTGCAACAAAATTAATTTCTTCGGTAATTAAAATTGTGGAATTCATGAGTAAAGAATATTAATATAAATGAATAATTATATTAACGGACGTAATTACAAATTAATTTTTATTAAATTGAAACTTGCGTTTGAATTTTATTTATCTAATATCTAAAATGATAGATATTTTGTTAAAAACTGTAACATTATATATTATTGTGAAAATTAATTATTTGTATACAATAATAATTTGATAAAAAGTTTAACACATATTTTGGTTTCAATATTTTATGATTATTTGCACATTTATAAATGTTTATATTTGAATTCAGTAAGATATCCTATTTAATCATTAAATAAGATAGCATATTTCCAATTTTATTTTATATATTCTTTTAATATATATATGTGGTAATAATATTGTATGGTTGGTTATTCTATAAAACAAAATAATATAAAATTATGTTTAAAGTTTAATTTAAATATTTGAATAATTATAAATGACATGCTCGAGCGATTAATCTACATATTATGTTTGTCAACACATGAAATATAAATAAAGACTGACATTTATTATTAAGTAGAGTATGAATATTAATTTTAGAAATATATATATATATATATATATTCGTCATATTTGATGATTCAATTAAAATACAAAAGCTAAATACATTTGTAAACATAAAAAATAAAAGTTTAGGTATCTAGAAAACATTTGTAGTTAGTTGAATTAAATTCTTATTTTCCAATAGAAATTAAATAGATATATTTTTAAACAATTAAAATTTTATAATTTATAATCTTATAAAATTATTTATACAATATGATTTTTTTTTAAATATAAGACATTAAAGATTTTCTATAATTGTTTATATAGGAATAATATAAAAGAGGTAGTATATTTTATTAAGTTGCTTTGATTTACATTAAGACGAAAAAATGTTAAAAAATTAATTATTGTTCATTATCTAAATAATTAAAAAAGTGTCATATATTTATTATTTAAATCTTACTATTTTTGTATTCAATTATTAATACTGATATTATTCTTAAAATAATTATTGTTTATATATGGGTAGAATATAGTTGCAAAATAAATGGAAATAGTTGATTTTATAGATTTTAATTATTAAATTACCCAACAACATATATTACAATTTACATATACTGTGTTTATGTTGTTTTTAGTAAATAACATTATAAAACTTAATTTATTCGCTTAAATATTGTAAAATATAATTAATATTAAAAATCAATAATACCTTCTATTATAAAAATATAAAAATATAAAAATAAATTATAAAAATAAAAATAAATAAAAATATATAAAAATAAAATAAAGTATATAAAAATCAATTGTTTCTTTTCAAAAAGCTCATGTCTTTATTTTATTTATGTATTAATTTAATGATTAAATGATAATCGTGTTTTTAATTTTGAAGTATTCGATATTTAAATTTTAACGGATCCTCTTGAATGTGAATGCAATATTAATATCTGATCACGCGTAAAGTATTATCGGTGAAGCATAAATTAATCAATAAGTATTTACAGTATAGTTAAAATAAAGCTTATTACCCGTCTTACTATTTAAAGGCATATTTCAATATTAGAGTACTGACATTCATAATTTTTTGTTGCATTATTCATTAAAAAGTTGTAAAAGTCAGAATGTTTGTTCTTCCGACAATTGAGCACAGATATTAATGCAAACTATTTACATAAATAGTTTATTAAATAGAACGCGCTTAAATCTGAGGTGCAGAGCTTGAGGTTTAGCTTCTTTATTATTTAACTTGACTAATATTTAACAAACACTGGTAGACTCGTAATAGGAATGCCCGTATTAATTCAGAACTTTTAAAGTTTATATAGAATAACAATAGACGGTGACAAACGCTACAACTTTAAATTGTCAAATGGAATAGTATTACTTCAATAATATTTAATATGCCTATCGTCTGTGATGTTGTCAAAAGCACAAAGAAAGGACACGCTAATACATTCTTGATGTTTACAAGCCGATATTTAGTGTCTGATAGAAAATTTTGTTCGAAAACATTATATTATATCTAGATTACATTAAACTGAGATCGAAGCTCAGTTTAAAAATATAAGTTCTTGCCTAAAGATTTTTAAATTTTCTTCAGATGTTTCGTAAATACAAATGAATGATTCTGTGTGCACGAGTACGCATATAAACGTGTTTACAATATCCCTTAGCGTACGATTTTATTCATGAATGGACAATAAAAATATTTATATTCCTGTCTATTGATTCATTATATTGATTCTTCCTTTCTTTTGTTGAGAAACGGACATGAAATATCGTATTATCTATTTTATTGTTATCAAGCATTTTTTATAATTCCCATAGTAATCTCGACTACATTAGCATAAAAATATTTTTAATATACATTTATTTTATTTGTAAGATTCATACGTGTACATAAAATAAGTAATCGTAACATTTTTTGCATTTCTGATCAATAATAAATACAATATACAAATATATTGTACATTAATTTTATATCAAGGAAATAATTCGATTTCAACGTGACGTGCTATACAATTGTCTGAAATAATAATAATTTGTATTTATGGCTAAACATTATTTTTATTGTAATTCGTTTTATATTTTATTTTTACTTATATGAATAACATTCAAATGTTATTTCAATCTAGTATTATAGTGATTTATTAGATAATATACCGGTAATTGTATTTGGAATCATTACTTAATATTTAATAATGAATTTTTATTTAATGCAAATAAATTAATGTAAATTTTTATTATATTTCCTTATTCTTTTTTACTAAATATATTATAATAATAAATACTAAAGAATAATAAAATAATTATCATTATTTTTCCCAATGTTTTCCTTGGGATGGTCTTTAATCTAAAATAATAGTTTTAATTCTGAGGATAATCGAATTTTCCGGCAATTAGATGTATCCTTACCAAAGTGTGCGTTATGCGTTGTCGTGCGTTGTGCGTAGGTTTTGTACTGTTTCTTTGTTCTAAAGGTCACTAGTTGACTGCTTATATCGATACACTTATACTTATTTCAATATTTAATGAACTTTATGTATTTCTTGCGATAAAAATCATACGATAGGTAGCATTTATATTTAATAAAAATTCTGTTTTGTCTAATATAAATGACTAAATGTTCAATAAA